GATGGTCTCGATCTCTTGACCTCGTGATCCACCCGCCTCAGCCTCCCAAAATGCCGGGATTACAGACTTGAGCCACCGTGCCCGGCAGAAGCATAATTTTTTAATACTGCTTTCAAGTCTTCTATTCCCTTATGAATATTGTCTTTTCGTCTTATTCATTACAGAAATTGAGGTATCAAAATATCCTAGTATAATTACATTGCTTTCTGTATCTTGCTTTAATTCTGCCAGTATTTACTTTATATATTTGGAGTCCTAATGTGAGATACACTCACACACACCTTAATATATGCGTACATATATTGTCATGGGTTCCCAGTAAATGAACCATTATTATTCTTTAATATCCTTTGTCTCTTAAAAGCTTTTATTTAAAGCATATTTTATGAAGAAAGATAGCTTTCCACTAAACATGCACTTTGTGGGCCGGGCGCGGTGGCTCAGGCCTATAATCCCAGCACTTTGGGAGGCCGAGGCGGGTAGATCACGAGATCAAGAGATCGAGACCATCCTGGTCAACATGGTGAAACCCCATCTCTACTAAAAATACAAAAATTAGCTGGGCATGGTGGCACATGCCTGTAGTCCCAGCTACTCCAGAGGCTGAGGCAGGAGAACTGCTTGTACCCGGGAGGTGGAGGTTGTGGTGAGCCGAGATCACGCCATTGCGCTCCAGCCTGGGTAACAAGAGCAGAAACTCCGTCTCAAAAAAAAAAAGAAAAAGAAAAAAAAAGATACACTTTGTGTAATATAATTTTGACCTCTTTTTGTTTGGTTATTTGCATGAAATGTCTTCATCTTGCCTTGTCTCCTTTAATCATTAGATCTTAAGTGACTTGTAGAAAAGCAGGTTGAAGCTTGTTTTTTAAATTTTTAAATTTTTTTTTTTTTTTGACGGAGTCTCACTCTGCTACCTAGGCTGGAGTGCAGTGGCTCAATATCAGCTCACTGCAACCCGCTTCAGCCTCCCAAAGTGCTAAGATTACAGGTGTGAGCCACCACAACCAGCCAATTTTTTAAATCTTTTTATTCAGTGCATAAATGGATGCATGAATGGAAAGTTTACTTCATAAATATTTAAATAATTTGCTGAAATAGAAAGGCTTACTCATTTTATTTTATTATTTTACTTGATAATTTTATCTTTGTCCCTTATTTTCTGTCGTCCTGTGTGTCTTTTTTATTTTGGTATTGACAGGTCTTATTTTTTTAGTATCTAAACAGTTCCTTTTTTATTTGGTATCTTGGGGATTACATAAAATTTATTTAAGTTAAAATAATGTGTTTTAAACTGGTAAAAACTTTAGTTACATGTCAAAATTCTTCCTCATTATATTTGCCCTCAACTTTATTATTGATGTCACTAATCATGTTTGTATTTTGCATACTAACAGTTTACGATTACCAGTTTATGATTGTTTTGTTTTTATCTTTCACATTCTGGAGATTAATTAAAATGATTTCTGTGCTAATATAATGGTATAGGACTTTATATTTTCATATGTGCATATCTTTCCCAGAAAATTATGTGTTTTCATATTATGTTTTGTTTTCTTGCATCATGTTATTTTCAGTGGAAGATACTTCAGATTTTTTTTTGCAAGGCAGGTGTAGTACTAATATACTTTTCAGCATTCACTTATCTTGAAAGGTCCTTGCCTTTTCTTCATTTTTAGGACAGTTTTACTGGTTATATTATTCTCACTTAGAAGCTATTTTTCTTTCAGCACTTTATATTACAATTCCCTCTCATCTGAATTTATCTATTTTTTTTTCTTTTTTTTTTTTTTTTT